AGGATGTGGAACAGATGGCAGCCATAAAAGTGGTGTGCATGGAAGAAGAGTGAGATGTGTGCATGCACCTATGTCTGCACACACACACACACACACACACGCACACACACACACACACTGATGAATACTTTCAGCACTGGACATGTCTGCTACAAAAAAATCCAGGGAGATAGAAAGACAAACCCTACATTTCCCTAGCCTGGCCTCACCTAACCAAATGTGTGAGTAATCCTGACTCTATCCCAAACAAGTCTGAAACCTTTATTTTGTTGTTTCCTTCTTAACATTTACTTCTCTCTCGCTTTTTCTTTCTCTCTCTCCTCTCAATCTCTTAACTAATGGAAATAGGAAAGAAACAAGTTTATTAGTACCTATGATGTCTTCAAAATTGCTATAGTTGGTCCTCAACATAGCTTTGGAAAGGAGGAAAGCAGGACCTACAAAAGATACTGACTGGTCTTAGAAGTGGTAGAAACTAAAGCCAGATACCAGATCATCCAAAGTTCCTCTTTCTTCATTAGGCTAGGAGCAACAAGATAAAACTCATAGATGTGAGCTGAAAGGTTTAAATTGGATATAAATTCATTTTCTAGAGGTCTTAAGAGTTTATATAAGAAATGTTCCTTCCAAACACTAATATGTTCAACACTAATATGTTCTCCAGCTGGTAGATCCAGGCATTGAGAAGTGACTAGATCAGAGCATTATTTATCCCTGATTCAGTGGATTCATTCACTGATGGATTTATAATTTGATGGAATTGGTAAAAAACAAAATTGGAAGTAAGGGCTGGTTGGTCACTAGGAATAATCCCTAGAGGATTGATCATCTGAGCACTTCCATTTTATTAGAGAATTAAATTAGTAGTGTAAAAATTACTAAAATAATATGTTGGAGGCTGGGAAGGTGACTCAGTGGTAGAGAGCTTGCCTTGCATGCATGAGGCCCTGGGTTCAATTCTAAGCACTATATAAGCAGAAAAATCTGGAAGTAGCACTGTGGCTCAAGTGGTAGAGTGCTAGCCTTGAGCTGAAGAGCTGAGGGACAGTGCCCAAGCCCAGAGTTCAGGCTCCATGACCAACAACAACAACAACAACAAGAGTATATATATATATATATATATATATGTTGGCCCAGCTGGTTCCATCAGTAACTTCTACCAAACAACTAAGGACAAAATAACTGGCTTTAATCCAATCAGTTCTTGAGAAGATAAATTAAAAAAAATAAATATACCAAAATATTTTACAATTCAATTCACACAAATATATAATCCTGGTTTCACAAAAGGCAAAAGCATTGTATAAAAAGGAGTAAATGGATTAACATCCTTAGGAATATACATATAAACATTTTTATACACACATATGTAAACATTTTTGTTGGGAGTGTAATTCAAGTGGCAAAGCAGTTACATTTAATGAGTCTAAGGTTCTAGATTCAATCCCTAATACAGGAAGGAAGGAAGGAAGAAAGGATAGGATGTGGTAAGAAGGGAAGGATGGAGGGATGAAGGATGAAGCAAGTGAGGGAAGGAAATAGAAAGGAAGGAAGAAATGTAGGAAGAAAATAAAAAGAATAAAGAGAGAGGAAGAAGGGAAGGATGAGGGAAAATGAAGGAAGGAAAGAATTTTTGTGTGTGTGCCAGTCCTGGGGCTTGGACTTAGAGTCTAGGTATTATCCCTGAACTTTTTTTGTTTTAGTACTCTACCACTTGAGCAAGTTCTACTTCTGCCTTTTTGCTAGTTAATTGGAGATAAGAGTTTCACAAATGTTCCTGCTCAGGCTGGCTTTGAAACACGATCCTCAGATCTCAGCCTCCAAAATAGTTATGAAAACAGGTGTGAACCACCAGTGTATGGCTAGGAAGGAAATTTTCAAGAAGACAAAGAAAATCCTTAACAAAAATTTAACATACCAAATATATTTTTAAAAGAAAAACATTGTCACCATGTGAAATTCATCACAGAAATGAAGTCATTTTATCGCTTGAAAATTCATCAGTGGAATTTATGATCTTAGTGAATTAAAAAGAATAAAGTATATGATCATCTCAATAGATACAGAAAATCAACATCTGGCCCTAATGGAAGCAACAATAACAAAAACTCCTAGTAAGCTAGTAATAGAAGGTATCGGCTCCAGAGTAGCAAAAGAAAGCCACAAAAATATTAGTCAACTTTATACTTAATAGTGAAAGTCTGAATACTTTCAGCTTAATACTAGAAACAAGGCAAAGATAGCTTTTCTTGACACTTTTGTTCAATAAAGTACTAGAAATGATGGCCAAAGCAATCAGAGAAGAAAAAAAGCCATTTAGGTTGAAAAATAGTAATATGATTATATTCTCTTTTTGAAGATGACTTGTATATAAAATGTTTAGGAATAACTGAATTTTTCAATCCTGGAGGAATACAAGTGGAAGGAATTTTTAAAAGATGTACTAAAATAATACCAAGGAAGTAGGACTAAAGTAGCTTCCAATCCTGGAATTTTCTGCTGATATTAAAGGAGTGAGTAAAATATACCTAAGAATTGCAGAAGGCCTAAGTGTCTTGTATTGAGGGGAGAATAAGGTGACTTTTGACTGACCAAGAAGCCTTTGCAAGGAGAAGGACACTAGGGATTTGATGAGGATGTTACCTGATATATAAGAATAAACACTATTTTAAGAGTAAGACATCTGGTTGTAAAGTCTAGCTCTACCACATATAAGTTATATGATTCCAGAGACTCACTTTATCTGCAAAAAATAAGTTTGGTAATCATTATTACTTTCCTCTTCTCTAATTCTGAAAATAAGAGCATGCACTAGAGATATGGGCATTATTGTTAAAGGATAAATCCACCTAATAGAGATCTTCCATTTCCCTTGGTATCTGTAGTTTACAACTTCTAAAATCATGAACTACTATGCCACAAAGACTAAAGCACACACACACACACACACACACACAATACACACATAGATAATGACAAATCTTAGTACACATTTTATTTAACTGCAAACAAATGAACACAGCTCCACATAAACTTACACTAACACAGAGATCCATAATGTGGCATAAACATGCAGGCAACATATACATAGATGCAAAAGGCTAGAAAGCATTAAGTGAAATCCAAAGGAGCAGGCAAAAAAAAAATGACCAATCTCTGTTCTTTGAATAGACACTCCACAAAAGTGACTCTGCCTCCAACTTGTTCTAACTTTTCTACCAACACATCAAATAAGTCGTATCCATCTTGGGCCCCAAAATACCATGTGAATTTTCCTGTCATTCATTACCTTGGCTTCCCTGACCTATTATTCTACATTCACAGCCTCACTGTACTGGTTTCTTCCCAATCTCAGAGGAATCAAAACAAAAAAAAACCCAGAAAGGAAAGTATAAAAGACAAAGAAGAGAGATACAGAAAATCATAAGGGTTTTCCATTCATTCATTATTTGTTTATTCAACAAATATTTGAATTCAGACTTTATTATAGGTGTGGGAATTCAACCTGATTTTAAAAAGGCATCATCTTTCCTTGTATTTAGAATGTAATTGGGAAAAATTATTCTTTAATTGTCTCAATAATTCACTCAGCTCAGGATTAAAACTGAATTTGAATAGCTGTCACTCACTGGCAAACCTTGAGTTAGTTCAGTTTCCTAATCTATGAAATGTGCATGATAAATGACAACCTTCAATGAAGTACTTAGCTCAGTACTTAGCATACGATGTAGATGCCTAGTCAGTTTTATAGATGGAAAACAATAATTACTGAATGGAAGTCAACAGAGAATGCAAACACCCAGTGCAGGCCATACGTGAATGCTGGCTTTTGGCAGTGTCAGTGATTTAGAAGAACTCAGAGGTAATGGTCTAAGTTACAAACAAATGTAGGTCTTGTGAAAGACATCTTTCTCATCATCCTTCATGTTCAGTTGTTTCCAATTCTTTCTTTGCAGTTCTTGTTTAGAACTACCTCAGTATATCTCATTTTAAAAGCCAATCATTTGAATTTCCTCATCTCAGCTTCAGATAAAATATGTTTACAGACCAGTTTCATTTGTAGGCTTCCCCAAAGAGAGAAAAATAAAAAATAAAAACACTTAAATAGGACCAACTTCATATTCTGTCTACAATGTTAAAGGCTTAACTCAGAGAAAATTTCCCAACAGAATTTGTTATCTTTCCTAAATTAATATCATACACAAAACAACAACAAAGAAACAAACAAAAAACATGGGCGAGTACCAGAAGAAGAAAAAAAAATTCAAGGAACAATGAAACTTCCCAGTGCCTGCCTGGGCCAGAGGATATTCAGTCTCCAGACATTAAACAGTACATTTCCCTCCTCTGCCACAGCATCTCAGCCAAATGGGAAAGAACCTACTCACCTGTGTAGAGGTCAGTGTCTGTGTACTCGTCCACCTTCTTGTGCTGCAGGATGTAGTCAGAGACTTTGGTCCCAATAGCTGGCTGGACATCTACCCATTCCAAGGAGACCACAGTGCTGGAGGGCTCTACGGATGGGGACAGCCGCAACCTACAGGAGATATGACAGTCAGGGTTGTTTGTTTGCCAGGCAGCATCAGCAGCATGTGCTAAGGTTGGAAGCAAAGGTTTGAGCCTGGTTTCACATTTTGAATTTTTCTAACACTACTAATCCCTAAGTGGCTTCCAATCATTTCTCTTCTCGAGGATTCATTTTCCCCATCTATAAATTAGGGATACAAAGAACTATCTTGTATGATCAACAACTTGATCATGGCACACACAATGTGTTCAATGAAAATGGATTCATTTTCCATTTATTTCTACTGTATTCTCAGGGATGATCTGTTTCTTAAATAAATTGACAGTGATTTCAGACAAAGGAGATTTTAATCTTTTTCTTAAAAGGAGACTCAAAAGTCAATACTCAGGACTCCTGGAGTGAATTGATTTTCAAAGCAGCAAAATTCAGAATGATTGAAGATTACAACTGGATTGGGGCTGAGAAATCATGAAATATAAGATAGGCACTGGTGGTTCATCAATACGGTGAGTTGAGATTCAGAGGATCACAGTTCAAGGCCAGCCCAGGAAAAGATGTCAATCAATATGCTGGGCATGGTGGTATGTGTCTATCATCCTAGGTTAGCCCAGGCTTCATTTCAATGACAAAAGCTGGATATAATGGCAGGTGCCTGTCATCACAGTTCTGAAGGGAAGCTTAAAATAGGTAACTCATGGTCCAATTGCAGACCTGGGCAAAAAGTGACACTCTATTTCTGTATACCCAATGCAAAAAAAGGGCTAGAGGCATTATTGAGTGGTAAAAAGCCTACCTAGCAAGTAAAAGGACCTGGTTTAAAGCCCTAGTATGGCAAAGAAAAAAGAAAAGATGAGAAGAGAAAAGAGGAAGAGAGAGAAAGACAGAAAAAGAAAGAAAGAAAGAAGGAAAGAAGAAAGAGAAAGAGAGAAAAGAAAGGAGAGAGAGAAAGAAAAACAGAAAGAGGAAGAGAGGAAGAAAGGAAGGAAAGAAAGAGAAAGAAAGAAAAGAAAGAAAGAAAAGAAAAGAAAGAAAGAAAGAAGAGAAAAAAGAATAGGAAAGAGAAACAGGAAAGGGAGGAAGAAAGGGAGGAAGGAAAGAAAGATGGAAGGAAGGAAGGAAGGAAGGAAGGAAGGAAGGAAAGGAAAGGAGAGAGGGAGGGAGGAAGGAAGGGATCAAGCAGGCAAGCAACTTGGGCACAGGTGGCTCACACCTGAAATCCTTCCTAGTCAGGAGGCTGAGATCTGAGGATCACAGTTGGAAGCTGCCTGAGTAGGAAAATCCTTGAGACTCTTATTCTCCAATTAATTACCCAGAACTCAAAAGTAGATCCATGAATCAAGTGGTAGTGTGTTAGCCCTGAGCAAAACAAGCTCAGGGACAGTGCCCAGGCCTTGAGCTCAAGTCCCAAAAAAAAGAAGCACCAAAAAAAGAAAGAAAGAAAGCCGGGTTCTGGTGGCTCATGCCTGTAATCCTAGATACTCAGGAGGCTGAGATCTGAGGATCATGGTTCAAAGCCAGCCTGGGCAGAAAATCTCTGAGACTCATATCTCCAATTAACCACCAGAAAACCGGAAGTGGCGCTGTGGCTCAAGTGGTAGAGTGGCTCACCTTGAGTTGAAGAGCAAGGGACAGTGCCCAGGCTCAGAGTTCAAGCCCTATGACTGATGAGAGAGAGGGGGGGGGAGAGGGAGAAAGAGGGAGAGAGAGGGAGGGAGAGAAGAAAGTGTAATTTCTTCATGTCACAAAATGAGAAAAGGGAAGAAGGCATAGTAAAGGCAAGTGGCTTGCTAAAGGTCACACAAGATGGGGAACAGAGCTATCATGACAACACTGCTGAACCTCAGCCCAGATTCCTTTTCTTCTATTACAGGGCACTTATCTCTTTGAGCATGTGACTCTTGTCATCCTATGGGAAGATCTTGTGGGACTCTGCTTCCCAGGACTGCTCCTGCCCAATTCTTTTTTCCTCTTCTCCCTAATCACATTCTTCCAATCAAGATAACCTACTGCCGCACATACATGTTCTGCATCGGGGCCTTCACATATGTTATTCTTCTGCCTCAACCATGATTCTCAGGGTTGATTGGCTACCGGGCTATATGACTATAATGTAGGTCTTTTCAAAGAGAATTTTTTCAGATAACTCGTCTTGTCTCCCACCTAGCAGTCCACCATTATTCATTCTCCTTATGAGCAACTATTTGTTTTTGCTATTGTTATTTCATTTTATTATTTATGTTTTGCTGTATTTTGAGAGAGTCTCATTCTATAGCCAAGACTGGTCTTGAACTTGTGTACCTTCTTGCCTCCCAAATGCTAAGATTATAGGTATGCACTAACATACTAGCTCTTACTGAACTTTTTAAACTGTCTTATTTTCCTTTGGTTTAAGTCTCTCCTACTAAGTTATTAGCGACCTTCATGCAAGAATGTACCTATCTTAATTTCCAGTGCCTTTTACATAGCAAGTATCCCAAAATGCTGAAGTATGAACTCCACTGGAAGCAAGAAGCTTTGTTTTCTTTGTTGTTGTTTTTGATTTCTATTATTCTTGTCTTCTTTGTTTATTTATCTGTCTTTGGGAGGGTAAAGGGGGCACAGAAATGGAGGGACAAAGAGCAAATAAATGCAGTGTGGTACTCAGTAGACATGATGTTGAAAATGAACTATTCAACTTGTGGGTGGAGACAAGAGGGAAAACTGAGAGAGAGCAAGGGGAGGGGTGGCATTGTCCAAGAAGACATGTACTTATTACCTGACTTAGGCACCTGTAACCCCTCTGTACAGCACCTTTAGAATAACAATAGATAGCTTAAAATCATTGTAGCTCCTTAGGAAAGTTCCTTTCTTTATCTCAGTAGGCCCAGTACCCCAAAGGGACAAAGTACAAGTCACTTGCCCAGCTAAACCTCTTCTGAGCTAAGGAAGGCCGGGTGTGAGGCATCGTTTAAAATAACACACCCCATAATGCCTCGTATAAAATCTCCCCTTTTTTTCAGAGCTCCTTCTTTCTCCCCCAAAATGGTGATCAGGCATCAGAGATTCCAGGGATCCAGTTATGCATCCTGGCAACAGAATTAAGCCCTGGCCTGCGTTGGCAAGGCAAGAGCGTGAAGAAAGGAAGATGGGCTGCGGATACGTACACCGGCTGTGGGAGAGGGCTACAGTTGGGAAGCCCACTGGCATCAAAGGCACTGAGGTCACACCTGCACCAGTCGTCAATCACGTCCCCTTTGCCCGAGCACCAGTAGGAACTCATCAGGGCACTCTTGAAGGCCTGGAAGGATAACAGAAAGAGTGGTCAAGGTCACAGTGGCAAAACAGAGAATAGTGTTGAGGACAGCCATGTTGTCCGACAGTGCCATGGACACCAATTGTGCTCAAATCCCTTTCACTGGCAGCATCAGGAATGTCTCCCATCCCGAGATACTCTGTACCCAGCACTCTGAGTGGCTCTGGAGACATAACACTAAGAGCATCCATTGAAACTTCTTCTGACCCTGGCATTGTACAGGGATTAACAACTGTGATCCTCACAGTAACTCCACATGAGAAGTTATTGTACTGTTATTATCATTATTCTCTCATTTTACAAAACGGAACCGTGAAGCACACCAGGAAGTAGGTAACTTGTCTGCATTTCATAGATAATAAATGATGAAGTTTAGATCTGAATTGAGGGAATATTGCTCCAGGTCCTGCCCTGTTAGAAACACTCTGCTAGCCAGGTGCTGGTGGCACATGCCTGTAATCCTACCTACTCAGGGGGCTGAGATCTGAGGATCATGGTTCAAAGCCAGCCCAGGCAGGAAAGGCCGTGAAACTCTTATCTCCAATAACCACCAGAAACTGGAAGTGGTGCTATGGATCAAGTGGGAGAGCGCTAGCCTTGAGCTGAAGAGCTGAGGGACAGTGTTCAGGCCTAGAGTTCAAGCCCCAGGACCAACAAAAAAGAAAAGAAAAGAAGAAATACTCTGCTACAATGCACTGAACACTGATCCTGATCCTCTCACAGCCTTGCATTAAAAAAAAAACCTACAGAAGCTCCAAGTTTCAGCTCCTGGCCACCTCCCCAGTCTTCTTGTCACCCTGATGACCTTCCAAGCATAGGTCTAGCCACTGTTTTGCAACCACCATCATAGTGAATGCCTAGGTGCATGCAAATAGAGAGACAATGTGCCTATCTATTACCTTCTGTGGATGAGATATGTATATGACAGTAATCTCCTTTACAACTCTACTTTATTATCTGTATTTTTGGAATAATTACCAATCTAGTTAGAAGAGTGAGTGAGAAGATGTTTATAAAGTTTCCAGGATGGTGAATGTATATGGCATTATAAAATATGGATAGGGTTCTTGGAAACATGATGGGTGGAGTCACCAGGAGTTGTTTTCTGTCCTGTATGCACAGGTGCTCTACATCAGAAGACAGCTAAGCATACTCTATGAAGGAGCAGGGATCATATTTGCCACAAATACTTAACACTGCATTTGCAGTAATAAAGTAGCATAGGCAATACTTTAAGCAGATATAGTGTGTTCCAGTAACACTTACAAATATTTACAAAGATAGGAAGTAGGCTAGATTGGGGTAGATGGCTGTAAATGATGAACAGAAATCTAATGCTGTTTGTCTTTTTATTTTAAGAGCTCCTTACACTCCAACTCAGTCTTTTCCTCTCACATGAAACTGCTTGTTCTCTGGATAACTCACCCTGAATTCCTTAAACTTGGAATGAAGCGTGTTCCTCTTCTAGACATCCTTATTTACTTTTATTTTTATTTATTTATTTGCTGGTCCCGGAGCTTGAACTCTGGGCCTTAGTGCTGACACTGAGCTTCTTTTGTTTAAGGAAAGTGCTTTACTAGTTGAGCCACTGAGCCACAGCGCCACTTCTGCCTCCTTCGAGTAGTCCATTGGAGATAAGAGTCTCATGGAGTTTACTGCCTGGGTGAGCTTTGAGCTGTAGTCCTCAAATCTCAGCCTCTTGAGTAGCTAGGAGTACATGCAAGAGCCCTTGGCCACCTGGCTTTGTCTAGACATCTTTAACACTAGATCATTCCAACCACCCCATAGCCATGCCCGCCCCATGCCTGTCTCACCCCAAGACATTGATTGGTCAGGACAAGGACTGGGACTATTCCCATAAATGCCCTCACAGGTTTTAGCACAGTTATTCCATTGATAATGCTAATAAATTAATGTGCCTTGAAAACATTGTTATCAGGTAAAAAGAACCTGGAAGGCATTTTTTTTTTCAATTCACCTGAAAAGAGGTCTCTTGTGTTCCCTTGTACTTTCTTTCCCTCTCTCAGATACAGGTATAGGAGATTCCTTCAGCATGTAACATGTGCTTGATGCTTAAGATACTGGTTAAGCCATTCCATTCACATTGTAAGTCATTGAATGTGTGACAGCTCTCTTTAAAATCTAAGGATTCTGCAGGGTCTATCAACTGATGATTACATAAAACACACACACATATATTTAAATATGTATATATATATATTATTCATCCATAAAGAAAAATGAAATTATGTCATTTGCAGGAAAATAGATGAAACTGGAGGTCATCATGTTAAGTGAAGTAAGTGAGGTTGAAAAAGACAATTATTTCATGTTCTTTCTCATATACAGAAACTAGACCTGGAAAAAAAAAAGAATGACACAAGTATAAAATTAAGTGATCTGTGTGCTGGTGGCTCATGCCTGTAATCCTAGCTACTCAGGAGGCTGAGATCTGAGGATCATGGTTCAAAGCCAGCCCAGGCAGAAAAGTCTGTGAGACTCTTATTTCCAATAAACCACCAGAAAACCAGAAGTGGTGCTATGGTTCAAGTGGTAGAGTGCTCCCCTTGATCTGAAGAGCTGAGGGACAGCGCCCAGGCCCAGGGTTCAAGCCTATGACTGATAAAACAAACACTAAGTGATCTTTTTTTTGTGAAGCGGGGAGGGAATCAATAGAATAGGGGAACAAAAGGGGAGGATGGAAGGTAAACATGATCAACTACTTCTTATGCATGTAGGAAAATAGAATAATGGAATCCACTAACTTTTTTTTTTTTTGCTCAAGGCTAGCACTCTACCACTTGAGCCACAGTGCCACTTCTGGCTTTTTCTGTATATTTGGTACTAAAGAATCGAACCCAGGGCTTCGTGCATGCTAGGCAAGCACTCTACCACTAAGGCACATTCCCAGCCCCCCACTAACATTTTAAAGACAGAATAGAAGGGGGGGAATAGGAGAGTGTGAATTTGATTGAAGTACATGGCCTTGTGCTGGTGGTTCATGCCTGTAATTCTAGCTACTCAAGAGGCTGAGATCTAAGGATTGTAGTTCAAAGCTAGCATGGGCAGTAAATTTAGACGTTTTGGTAGTTAATCTCCAACTAAGTACCAAAGAGCCAGAAGTGGAGATGTGGCCCAAATGGTAGGAGCCTAGCCTTGAGTAAAATAGCTTCAAGCTCCAGGATACACACACACACACACACACACACACACACACACACACACACACACACACACACACACACACCCCAAAACAATCCCAAGAATATTATATGCATGTATGGAAATATCAAAATGAAACATCTTTGTACAATTAATATACACTAATAAAAATCAAACACATTAAAAAAAACCCTGAGGGTCCCAGAGAACAGTATCTCTTACTTCTTTGCTGTATGTGTGCTGTGCCGCCCCTATGTGCTTCCTTTCCTTTCCTTTCCAACTTTTACTTTCTCTGTGCTCTTTAGATAAAAGGTACACACTGCCTCTCTCCAAGCACAGCTGCCTTCCCAGATGCCACCTCCCTCCTGCGCTAGTCAAGATCTATTACAGAATGTTTGAGGGAAACAGGTCTGGGTTCCCCCTCCTAAGCCCCTCAGAAGCAACACAGCCCTAGAAGAACATTGTGCGTTAGAGAACCTTGTAAGCTGGATGTGGGGGTGGCACCCTTGTAATCACAGTGCTTGGGAGGATGCAACAAGAGGATTACAAATTCAAGGCCAGTCTAGGTTATATAGGAAATCTGAGGCTAGCCTGAGGTACCAAAGAGAGACTCTATCTCAAGGAAACCACGGAAAATAATAATGAACTATTCCTGTGTACAATTATATTTTTATTATTTCAGTAGTCACACAAAGGAGTCACCCTTCAACCAATCAGCTTATCAGTACAACACATTTTGACCTATGCTACCATGTTCATTCTTCCCATCCCTCCAACCCAAACCCTGCTTATTTTTTAATTTTATAGGACATGCATTGAATATTATAACTTCATTCTCCGTACTTTCTTCTCTTTCTTGTTACTTCCCCCTCTCTTTGCTTTTGGCTTTTGAATGTCAATCCTCAGATCTCAGCCTCCTGAGTAACTGGGATTACAAGAGTAAGACACCAGAGCCCCGCTTCCTCTCTTCTTCTATCAACCCTCACCTCTTTGACCTTCCTCCAGCATCTTTCAAGTGCTAGTTTCCTGGTATTCACACTGTTGGACTGTGAGTTCATTTTCTTAAAGAATTACACAAGCCCTTTTTGCATTTCTCCCAAAGGTTTTGACCAAAGCCACTAATGAATCCTGCCACATATTCTTACCCATACTGTATCCTAGGAATGAACACATTACCTAATTTCTCCTGAGTTAAGTGAGCACCCAGAGAAATGAAAACAAATGTATTATAAAAGCAAATGTTCCTGGAAAATGAATTATGAAGTTCAATGAACTTGAAGTAAGCTTAAGAAATGTAATCCTTTCAACAGTTCTGAGAGACTGATACAGTGACCCTCAGGTTTGAAAACTAGGAATCAGAACAGTGAAGCAATTTCCCTCAGGTCATATAGCAATAGTGGCAGCAAATTCCAGCCCAGATTTCCATCACTTCAAAGTTCAGGTCTTTTTCTATTCAACCATGAAGATCAGTGAGATTAATGCCAAGTAAGGTTGCAGATTCAGTGAACAAAAATATCAGATGTTCTGTTAAATTTAAATGTAAACTTTTCATGAAGTAGTTACATGTAAGTGTCTGGGTCAGAATATACATACAGGGCTGGGAAGGTGGCTCAGTGGTAGAGCGTTTGCCTTGCATACATGAGGCCCTGGGTTCGATTCCCCAGAACCACATAAGCAAAAAGAAAAAAAGCCAGAAGTGGCGCTGTGGCTCAAGTGGTAGAGCACTAGCCTTGAGCTGAAGAGCTGAGGGACAGTGCCCAGGCCCAGAATTCAGGCCCCACGACCAGACCCTCCCCCCCCAAAAAAAAGAATATACCATATAG